GGAACCATGAAAACTCAGAGTGTCCCTTGACCACAGAGTGAGCCTGACTTCACCACTTGATTGACGTATCATACATACCAGTGAACTGAATGCAGGTTCAGTGGTAATTCTCGCCCCTTCTCCCATTCCTTAGTCAGGCACTGGATTTCTTACTTGTTAAAGCACAACATTTAGCTATTTGTTGCTGTATCCACACACAAAAAATAAGCTCTTATTTTCAAGTGCCAAACTGTTGCAGAGTTTGGGCCAAACGAGATGTGATGGCATCCGTAAGCTGAACCTGCTATTATTTTAAAGTGATTATCCTGATTGGGCCTGCGGCACAGTGGGCGGAGGTGCTCTTGTCCCGTCCCCCCCGGTGCCTTTTCAAGTGCCAAGATGGCCACACACCTTGCAGATATTTTGGCACTTGAAAAGGTGTGGGGAGGGGGACAGCAATGCTTCAGCCTTCCGCCACACTGTATTTTCAAATCACTTTAAAGCTATGGTGATGTCCACAGGTTGGACCCATGGCCACCATTGCATCTAGTTAGGTCCTTTGCAGTGAATAGAATTGCCAGCTCTGGGTTGGGAAATACCTGGAGATTTTGGGGGTGAAGCCTGGGGAAGGTGGGATTTGGGGAGGGGAAGGACCTCAGCAGAGTATAATGCCATGGAGTTCACCCTCCAAAGCAGCCATTTTCTCCAGGGGAACTGATCTTGGTCGCCTAGAAAACATTAGCGGAAGATCTTCAGGTGCCACCTGGAGGTTGGCAACCCCAGTGGCGAGTTTCTTGGTGACAGCATGAGTGCTAGCCAGTCACTGCTGTGCATGACTAGGTTCTCTTACAAAACTGGCAGAACTGATATTTGTCACATATCAATCCTGGAGGGAAACGGTAGGTTTGGGCTGAATGCAGTAAGGGCACTTTTAAACAGGGCTAATTGTTCTAAATAGGTTTGATCAGTTTCCGTGCTCGGGTTTGCCAGATTGCAGCCCAGAGATTTACCTTTAAAATCACTCATTAGACAGAAGAGTCGGCTTCTCCTGTTTATAATCTTCGATGGTGCATGTGGAATCTTGCTTGCTACAACAGACGGGGGGCAGGGGGGCGGACAGAAGCACAAGGGCGGGCTGGTTCAGAGAAGCCACAGAGGTTGCATCTCCCTCTTAATCAGTAGTTTAAAGCTACAACACAAATCTCTGGCCTGCCACCTGGCAATCCTGTCATTATCCCTGTTTTTATGGGTCAGAAAGTGACGCACGGTGACACTGCACAGGGTAACCGGGTACACCTGTGCTTAAATTAGGAAGGAAATCCACCACTAAGGCCACCGTTCTGGCCACAAATACTTCAATCACCTTTTAAGGGCTTATCCTGATGTTTTGTTTTATTTGTTTACTCTCACCATTTTCATGTCATGGCTTCCTTCAAAGAATCCTGGGAATTGTATTTTGGTGACGGTGTTGAGAATTGCCTCCTAGAACTACAATACCCAGAGTTCCATGGGGAAAAATGAATGTCTGTTTAGCCCATTTATATGTGGTGGTGTGGATGTGCCCTGGACCTTTTTATCATTGGGGCGAGATGCCTTAGTTCGTCCCGCTATGACTGAGGTGCATAATATGGCAGTGTGCCTAGGATTTCCAGGCTGCAGCCCAGGAAATGTTCACTGTTACAGACGGAGCCATGTTTGTTCCTCTGTGTGGCTTGCCCTCATTCATTTCAGATCATCCCAAACTGTCTATCCAGTTCCCCTCTGCCAAAGCCTTGATTTCTACCTTCCTCTGTTTTTCTCCTCCGTCTAGGAAGAAGCCAGCTATGTCTCCAGCCCCCTTGCCATGCTGACGGGTACCTGCAACAAATTCGGAAGAACTAGCCCCTCGCAGGATTCACCTCCTCCAGGAAAAGCAGAGAACAGTTTGGGGAAGAAACCGCATTTTTTGGGACTGGAGCCTTTTTCTCCAAAGGTCTGGGGTGCTGAAGGCATGGGAGATTCCTACACAGCCACGTTCCCTAACGGGAATGGACTGATGTCCCCCTCGGCGAGCCCGCAGGCCTCCACCACTTACAACAACGACTACAGCCCCTTCTCCCACTCCTTTCCAGCCTCCCCCACGTCTCAAGACCCGTCGTCTCTCTTGGTGTCCAAGGGCCACCCGTCTCCCGACTGTCTCCCCAGTGTCTACACCTCTTTGGATATGGCACATCCCTACGGCTCCTGGTACAAAGCCGGGATCCACCCAGGCATCTCCACCAGCTCCAGCAACCCCACTGCCTCCTGGTGGGACATGCACTCCAACAGCAACTGGCTGAGCTCCCAGCCCCAGTCAGACGGACTCCAGAGCTCCCTGCAGTCTGTGCCGAGCCAGGCCCCCATCAGCCCTCAGCTGCCCAGTTACACTTCAGAATTCACCACTTTGAACCCGGCCCCTTACCCCGCGGTGGGCATCACTTCCTCGTCGCACCTCCTCCCTTCCGGCCAGCACGTGCTGCCGCAAGAGATGTACAAGCCCAAGACAGTGGCCAACAACTCCCTGATGGAAGGCGGGATCGGACTCAAGTCTGGAAGAGGCGGCTCGTTTGGAAGTACGGCGGGCAGGTCGACGTGCGACTGCCCCAACTGCCAGGAGCTGGAGCGGCTCGGGGCCTCGGCAGCCAGCTTGCGGAAGAAGCCCATCCACAGCTGCCACATCCCGGGCTGCGGCAAGGTCTACGGCAAGGCCTCGCACCTCAAGGCCCACCTGCGGTGGCACACCGGGGAGCGTCCCTTCGTCTGCAACTGGCTCTTCTGCGGGAAGCGATTCACCCGCTCGGACGAGCTGGAGCGCCACGTCCGCACTCACACCCGGGAGAAGAAATTCACCTGCCTGCTTTGCAACAAGCGCTTCACGCGCAGCGACCACCTCAGCAAGCACCAGAAGACCCACAGTGAGATGGGAGTGGGCAAGCCCCCCGACGGCGAAGGGGAACGGGAGGAGGCTGCCGCAGTGGCTGGTTCCCCCACGACTGCCATGCAGGACGGCCTGCCGGGAGAGGAGAAAGGTGCCACCAGCCCAGAGCAGAGCAACCTGCTAGAAATCTAGGTTGGGCACTGAATGTCTGCTCCACCTCTTTCTCCTACACCTCCACGACCGCCCTTTTCAAAACACCTCTCGCCTAAATAATTTATTGGGGGGGGGGCAATGTAGACATAGAGGCCGTTGGTCTTTCTGTCTGGACAAGACACATCGCCAAACATCCCTCCCCCTTAATTCTGGAAGCAAACTTGGCTGGGATACCAGAAGGTCCATGACTTTATGGCTGCAGTCACAAATATCAGAACCTGAAGCTAAATCTCTGGTCATTCTGTGCATTGTTATAGCCGAAGCCCCTGCCCTGGTTTCTGTCATGTGTGATATTTCAAAAGAATGAACAGGACATTTGAGGAGATGCAAGTCCGCGGTTAGCCTATCAGGGGGAGTTAGCTGACGAGGAGATGCAAGTCCGCGGTTAGCCTATCAGGGGGAGTTAGCTGACCGGCAGGCAAGGCAAGATTGAAGTAGGGTTTTCTCAGGGTATGTTTAGGAATCACTTAGCATCTAATGTAGCCTGCGGAGCATTCAATCTGGAGCAGTTCTCCTTTAAAACCTCGCAGTGAGCAGGAGTTGGGGTCTGCTCAGCAGCAGGTGGGAAGAGGAAGGCAAGAGGTTTGGGCCGCTGCTTCAGGGCTTAGGGTGGGAGTGCCGGCATCCACAGAGCACGGCCCTGCTTTAGAAGTGTTAAATGAACCTGCACAGCCTTTAGCCCAGGACATGACAAACAGGCCTCAATCTTGAAGGAGTGCCTCTAGCTTTCAGAGCTGGATAGCAGATTCCTCCAGGGGATGCACCATGCTATGAGGATGAGAAAAAGGCCACCTCTGACAACACCCTGCCCTCCACGATGCTCTTAAAGGTACACTAGCCCTCCCAAGGGGAGGGTAACAGGACATAGGTGGTTCACAAAGCAAAACAAAATCCTGTAGAAGATAGAAAACGTTTAAAAAAAACTGGGGCCCACTGGTTTATGCCATTCCATTTACACATTTTTGCATTAGGCAGTAGCAAATCTAGGGGTTAGTTCAGAAGATAGTTTTGAAAGGGGAGGCACGGGTGTCCAGTTTTACATCTGTTCTCGGCATCTACACACAATATGGGCTCTGTCCTACTCCGGTCCCTCTCCCGTCCCTACCTGTCGATGTGAGATCAGTGAAAAGCTTATACAGTCCAGTCCAGGGAGATATCAGCATTTTGCAGGTGTCTGTATCTGGGTTTAGCATACGTTCCTCAAGCTGACAGCATGGGAACAGAAGCCGTGCATAAGTGTGCCAGGATTGGGGCGGGATGGGGGGGAACACATGACTGAGCAAGACATGACTATGCAAGACTGTGTGGCTAAGCAAGACCGTTCTTCATTGAAATATACAAAAAGAGCTAATGTACTTTGTGCAACAAAGAGGTAAAGAGGGTTGGGAAGAAACCAAGGTCCAACCACGCTGCAGGAGTAAAGAAGGGGCTGCACGCTGTCCCACAAAGGTGCTATGGGCCCTTGGATTTTCCTCTCCTCGCGTATTTAATCTAGAAGTATATTTATGCCTTAAATTATGGTGACAAATTAACAGAAAGGAGGTCCCCGGGTTCTCCAAGAAGCCTCTTTGATATGAGGCATCTGTTACTGAATCAGGGGTTGTCTCTCTGTTAATCGGAGGACTTTCTTTATGCAAAAGAGCATATTTGCCCTGTGTCCACCCCCCACCCCCCTCTCTCTCTTCATGTGATGAAAGAAATGACCATTTTAAATCTTGAAACGCTTTTCATTTCTGTTTTGTTGTGTGTGCTTGGGGAAAAAAGATCCATCGTGATTTGAAAACCCTCGTTCATTTCAGGTTGTCAGTCGCCAAGTATGCTCATTGGGGGGGGGGGGGGTTATTTTAGTTTTAAGATGCTGACAAGCGGACCAGGGTTTCTGCAGGGATGGGTACCAATCGTCACAGGCCCCTATTGTTTTGGGGCATTTTTTCCGTCCTAAAGATGCATTCTCTGTGGATTTATGCAGCTAAATGGCTTTCCTATTCCTTTGATCTGCTTACTCCTATATCCAGGTCGAGGCTACCAGATTTATGGAGGAACTACATATTACGCTGAACAAGGGGCTGCTGCCAGAAAGGGCATCCCTGAGTCGACTTCTTCCCTTCTCTGCAAAATTTAGGCACTTTTGCTTATGTTGTGACATCAGCATATTATGCATTTCTAGGGTTGCCAACTTCCAGGCGGTGGCTGGAGATCTCCTGAGATTATAACTGATCTCCAGGCAATAGATACCACTTCACTTGGAAAAAATGGTCCCTTTGGAAGATGCATTCTCCCCCCCCCCTCCCATTCCTTCTGTGTTAGCAACCCAGAAGAGTTTGTTCTTTTTTGTGAGACAGAAAGAAATAATTTCTTAGTGCGAAATAAATCACACCGTTATCTTTTAATGAATCGACCTTCTGTTGCTGTTTTTCAAGTTGCACAAAACAGCTCATCAGAAAAGAATCAGGTGACTCTCGGAAGTAAGTCAAGCTCCATTTTAATGTCCTGTATCTGGGGCTTCCCGATTCAATCCTGGAGGTTTCCTCCGTCCTATTCAAACTGCCAGTTAGGCAAGGGACCCGGGACTTGCAGGCAGGGCTGCCAACCTCCAGGTGGTGGCTGGATATCTCCTGGGAATACAACTGATCTCCAGGCAACAGAGATCTTCTCACCTGGAGCAAGTAGCTGCTTTAGAAGGTGGACTCTATGGCATTATACCCCACTGAAACCCCTCTCATCCCCAAACCCCGTCCTCAAGCTCCACCCCCAAAATCTCCAGGTACTTCCTAACCCAGAGCTGGGAACTCTGTGTATTTCCCTGGCCTGGTATTATTGGCTGGAAGAGGTGAGGGGACGTGATGTGATGACATCACATCTATAACGGTGCCTCACTGTCTCAGCAAGAGCAGGGTAACAGCGTTCCGTGCGCCTTGGTGTTTAGTCATGCCGGCCACATGACCACGGAAACGTCTTCGGACAGCGTTGGCTCTTCGGCTTTGAAACGGAGATGAGCACCGCAACCCTAGAGTCGGACTCGACTGGCTTTCAAGCAAGGGAACCTTTACCTTTAACTGTCTCAGCAAGAGCAGGGTATTATTAAGCAATAAAACCAGATATAATTCTGTATTTTTGTAAAAGACACACAGTGCTAGCATCCGAAGGGTGCAAATTGCCCTAAATATTGCTTGCACCATGCCACATTCTAAGGGAAGTTCTTTTCTTTCAAAAGAAGTTTGGATTTTGCTTGTTTTTAATTTAATGAAAAATAAAATGTAAGCTATGTTGCGGGGGGGGGGGAGCCTACAAAACTTGGTCTTTATGTTCAGAGGAAAGTACAGTCTGGTGCTCTGTACCATGATTTGAATAAAATTGCACTCATACTGTCTGAAATGTTTCTGAATTGTGGATTTATAGTTGTCAAACAATCTCACACATGAGCACGAGGCCCATATTCATTTTTAACAAAGGTCAGAATAGTTTGATGTACTGTTTAGAATCATACAGTAAATTCAGTATTTTTTTTTAAAAAATAGAGGTCTTCCCCACTACTGGCGATCTTTCTTTGCAATAGAACCTGCAAGACTGTGAAGAGCTATCATAGCCCCTCAGGCAAAGACGGCCTTTACCCCACCATCCACACGCAAACGTATGAAAACAAACCCACATGGCTTACCTGGCTACATGACCAGGTCACCTTGAATTTTGCCTCTCACCACCTGGCAGCAGCCCTCTGTATCCACAGGGGAATGGTGTTTTTTTTTTTTTTAATTTTGAGGACAGCCACTGTCAGAATTTCAGGTGGACCACCTGGTGTCTTTTCATTGCTGGAATCCTTACTGTTTCAGCTTGGTCCAATCCTTGTTTGTTTAAGTTGCGCCCCCTCCTTCCTTCAAGGAGCTCAGAGCAGTGTGCATTGTTTCCCCCTACTGCGTTTTATCCTCACAACAGCCCTGTGAGGTAAGTTAGGCTGAGAAAGAGAGTGACGGGCCTGAGGCTACCCAGCAACCTTCAGGGCAAAGTGGGGATTTGAATCTGGATCTTCTAGACCGTAGTCCAACACCGCAACCACTACATCACCTGACTCTTAAGCAAACTCAAGAATGATATTCTTCAGCAGTTTCTCTTAACAGTGATTAACTGTGAAGAGTTCTCATGTGCTCTTGTTTTATAAATTAACCACACATCCACAGAACCAGAGGGATTCCAGCTGAGGAAGTCAAGGAGCACGCTGGAGAAGTAGCATACGAATATCCTAAATAAATAACGATTGAAAGCACACAAGGCTTGAAGTCATTCCACCCCTGTTCTAGGGCGCATTCTTTGTTCACAATAGGCAATAGTGAACAAAGGACTAGGGTGAGGTTAAGGTTGCCAAACTCCAGGTGGTGGCTGGAGATCTCCTGGGATTATAACTGGTCTCCAGGTGACAGATCAGTTCACCAGGAGAAATCCGACCTTGCCCTCCCCAAATCCCTCCCTCCTCAGGCTCAGTCTCCAGGTAATTCCCATCCTGGAGCTGGAGACCCTAGGTGAGGCCCACTGCTGCCCAGCGCCAAGTAAGTAAGCGCCCTAGAACATGCCCCAGAATCTTCCGCAACATGGAACAATTCTGCAGGAGCCACTCACAGGTTCCTTGACAAACACCAATGCAGGAAGTGTTGCCCTGTACTGTACCATTGCATATCAGCTCTCAGCCGGGCAAATGCTAAATACCAGTGTGTATTAATGATCAAAAACTGTTAAAATATCAACATCGGATGGTGAATGCAAATGTGATGGGGTACCGAACTTGGATATCTAAGTATTGGGAGAATATTTGAAGGGGGAAAATGTTCGATCAGCCAGTGAACAGCTAGAAACTCTTCAGCATCAACATTCACAAAGGAGAGTCTGGGGGAGTAAATATACAACATTTTCCACATGGGATAAACTCCCTGCATACAGAAATGCAGAATTGTCAGGGAGAAGACTAAGCTAGAACCTTTCCCTCTGCT